GGTATTACTCGTCTTACAAAGGGGCATTACTCGCCTTACAAAGGGGTATTATTCGTCTTACAAAGGGGTATTACTCGTCTTACAAAGGGGTATTACTCGCCTTACAAAGGGCTATTACTCGTCTTACAAAGGGGCATTACTCGCCTTAAGGGGTATTATTCGTCTTAAAGGGGTATTATTCGTCTTACAAAGGGGCATTACTCGTCTTACAAAGGGGTATAACTCGTCTTACAAAGGGGTATTATTCGTCTTACAAAGGGGCATTACTCGCCTTACAAAGGGGTATAACTCGTCTTACAAAGGGGTATTACTCGTCTTACAAAGGGCTATTACTCGTCTTACAAAGGGCTATTACTCGTCTTACAAAGGGGTATTACTCGTCTTACAAAGGGGCATTACTCGCCTTACAAAGGGGTATTATTCGTCTTACAAAGGGGTATTACTCGTCTTACAAAGGGGCATTACTCGCCTTACAAAGGGGTATTATTCGTCTTACAAAGGGCTATTACTCGTCTTACAAAGGGCTATTACTCGTCTTACAAAGGGGTATTACTCGTCTTACAAAGGGGTTTTACTCGTCTTACAAAGGGCTATTACTCGCCTTACAAAGGGGCATTACTCGTCTTACAAAGGGGTATTACTCGTCTTACAAAGGGCTATTACTCGCCTTACAAAGGGCTATTACTCGTCTTACAAAGGGCTATTACTCGTCTTACAAAGGGCAATTACTCGTCTTACAAAGGGCTATTACCCGTCTTACAAAGCGGTATTACTCGTCTTACAAAGGGCTATTTCTCGTCTTACAAAGGGGTATTACTCGTCTTACAAAGGGGTATTACTCGTCTTACAAAGGGGCATTACTCGCCTTACAAAGGGGTATTATTCGTCTTACAAAGGGGTATTACTCGTCTTACAAAGGGGTATTACTCGCCTTACAAAGGGCTATTACTCGTCTTACAAAGGGGCATTACTCGCCTTACAAAGGGGTATTATTCGTCTTACAAAGGGGCATTACTCGCCTTACAAAGGGGTATTATTCGTCTTACAAAGGGGTATAACTCGTCTTACAAAGGGGTATTATTCGTCTTACAAAGGGGCATTACTCGCCTTACAAAGGGGTATAACTCGTCTTACAAAGGGGTATTACTCGTCTTACAAAGGGGTATTACTCGTCTTACAAAGGGCTATTACTCGTCTTACAAAGGGGTATTACTCGTCTTACAAAGGGGCATTACTCGCCTTACAAAGGGGTATTATTCGTCTTACAAAGGGGTATTACTCGTCTTACAAAGGGGCATTACTCGCCTTACAAAGGGGTATTATTCGTCTTACAAAGGGGCATTACTCGCCTTACAAAGGGGTATTACTCGCCTTACAAAGGGGTATTATTCGTCTTACAAAGGGGTATTACTCGTCTTACAAAGGGGTATTACTCGCCTTACAAAGGGGCATTACTCGTCTTACAAAGGGGCATTACTCGCCTTACAAAGGGGCATTACTCGTCTTACAAAGGGGTATTACTCGTCTTACAAAGGGGCATTACTCGCCTTACAAAGGGGTATTACTCGTCTTACAAAGGGGTATTATTCGTCTTACAAAGGGCTATTACTCGTCTTACAAAGGGGTATTATTCGTCTTACAAAGGGGCATTACTTGTCTTACAAAGGGGCATTACTCGCCTTACAAAGGGGCATTACTCGTCTTACAAAGGGGCATTACTCGCCTTACAAAGGGGCATTACTCGTCTTACAAAGGGGTATTACTCGCCTTACAAAGGGGTATTACTCGTCTTACAAAGGGGCATTACTCGTCTTACAAAGGGGCATTATTCGTCTTACAAAGGGGCATTACTCGCCTTACAAAGGGGTATTACTCGTCTTACAAAGGGGCATTACTCGTCTTACAAAGGGGTATTACTCGTCTTACAAAGGGGTATTATTCGTCTTACAAAGGGGCATTACTCGTCTTACAAAGGGGCATTATTCGTCTTACAAAGGGCTATTATTCGTCTTACAAAGGGGCATTACTCGTCTTACAAAGGGGCATTACTCGTCTTACAAAGGGGTATTATTCGTCTTACAAAGGGGTATTATTCGTCTTACAAAGGGCTATTATTCGTCTTACAAAGGGGCATTATTCGTCTTACAAAGGGGCATTACTCGTCTTACAAAGGGGTATTATTCGTCTTACAAAGGGGCATTACTCGCCTTACAAAGGGGTGTTATTCGTCTTACAAAGGGGCATTACTCGTCTTACAAAGGGGTATTATTCGTCTTACAAAGGGGCATTATTCGTCTTACAAAGGGGTATTACTCGTCTTACAAAGGGGCATTATTCGTCTTACAAAGGGGTATTACTCGTCTTACAAAGGGGCATTACTCGTCTTACAAAGGGGCATTATTCGTCTTACAAAGGGCTATTATTCGTCTTACAAAGGGGCATTACTCGTCTTACAAAGGGGCATTACTCGTCTTACAAAGGGGTATTATTCGTCTTACAAAGGGGCATTATTCGTCTTACAAAGGGCTATTATTCGTCTTACAAAGGGGTATTACTCGTCTTACAAAGGGGCATTACTCGCCTTACAAAGGGGTGTTATTCGTCTTACAAAGGGGCATTACTCGTCTTACAAAGGGGTATTATTCGTCTTACAAAGGGGCATTATTCGTCTTACAAAGGGGTATTACTCGTCTTACAAAGGGGCATTACTCGTCTTACAAAGGGGCATTATTCGTCTTACAAAGGGCTATTATTCGTCTTACAAAGGGGCATTACTCGTCTTACAAAGGGGCATTACTCGTCTTACAAAGGGGTATTATTCGTCTTACAAAGGGGCATTACTCGTCTTACAAAGGGGTATTATTCGTCTTACAAAGGGGCATTACTCGTCTTACAAAGGGGTATTACTCGTCTTACAAAGGGGCATTATTCGTCTTACAAAGGGGTATTACTCGTCGTATAAAGGAGGACGAAGAAGGGGTGTCATAATCCTAATATCACAAAAGATACCTTTTGAATGTGTATCAGATTTCATATATAGAAATCAATTCTGACTTTTTCAGATATTTGCAATTGAGGAATTACTTTGAACACAATATTAGCTCAAAAACAGATATGAAAGACCCAATATTACTTATATTCCTTCAAGCATATATTAATAAAACTACTCGAGGTGTAGTTTCTAAAATGGCCTTTCAGTCCAGAAAAACACATTCCACTTAATATATTAAAGAAAAATTTCCTGTCCCGTCCCGTCCTGGTGCAGTAGTTTAAGGGGACATAGATTTGGTTTTGTTTGTTTTTTTTGTGTGATTTTTGTGTAGTTTTTTTGCATTGTGGTTGTGTTGTTAAGAATGTGTGAGAGATGGTTGGATATAAAATAAGCTTTTGCTTCTTCCAACCTCCTTTTCAAACTATGCACATGCTCTACATTAGAAGTAAAGTAAATACATTGATTGAACCCAAAGGACCATGAACTTCATGTTTCTACTTTGCCGTGTTGACTTCAGTGTTTCCATTTCATCAGAAATACATTTATGCAAATGTTGATTCTGAACTAAATATTTTTCACTAGCTTTTTAAAAAGCATCAAATCATTAAAAAGTAGAATAACTGAGGAAAAAAGGATAAAATGTCTGCCCTGTTGACCATCGACACTGCACATGGTTAATTTAGATGAATCCATGAATGAGTGAAGTGCCCGTGGGCGGCGCTGCGGAGGCTGACACCAGAACCATCCACTTCCTGTGACCTTTGACCTTTTAAATGTGTAGTGTATTTACAAAAACATTCAAACATAGAAAAGAGGAGACGTTTACGAGAGCAGGGCTCAGGCTGTGGCTGCAGGTCTTCACTCCAACTGAGCAGGAGCACAGCAGACTCAAGTCTGAGTCTGGTCTAAACCTGAGGACATGGGTGGACTCTGCTGTGCTCCTGCTCGGTTGGACTGAAAACCTGCTTCTGCACTGGACCAGTCTGACCTCTGTACTCGAGCCTGGTACTTTTATTTCAAAGAAGGATCTAAGACCAGCTGTAGTCCTCTCTGATGGTCCCTCTGGTCCCTCTGGTCCTCTCTGATGGTCCCTCTGGTCCCTCTGGTCCTCTCTGATGGTCCCTCTGGTCCTCTCTGATGGTCTCTCTGGTCCTCTCTGATGGTCTCTCTGGTCCTCTCTGATGGTCTCTCTGGTCCTCTCTGATGGTCTCTCTGGTCCTCTCTGATGGTCCCTCTGGTCCTCTCTGATGGTCTCTCTGGTCCTCCTCTGATGGTCTCTCTGGTCCTCTCTGATGGTCTCTCTGGTCCTCTCTGATGGTCTCTCTGGTCCTCTCTGATGGTCCCTCTGGTCCCTCTGGTCCTCTCTGATGGTCTCTCTGGTCCTCTCTGATGGTCTCTCTGGTCCTCTCTGATGGTCTCTCTGGTCCTCTCTGATGGTCCCTCTGGTCCTCTCTGATGGTCTCTCTGGTCCTCTCTGATGGTCTCTCTGGTCCTCTCTGATGGTCCCTCTGGTCCTCTCTGATGGTCTCTCTGGTCCTCTCTGATGGTCTCTCTGGTCCTCTCTGATGGTCTCTCTGGTCCTCTCTGATGGTCTCTCTGGTCCTCTCTGATGGTCTCTCTGGTCCTCTCTGATGGTCTCTCTGGTCCTCTCTGATGGTCCCTCTGGTCCCTCTGGTCCCTCTGGTCCTCTCTGATGGTCTCTCTGGTCCTCTCTGATGGTCTCTCTGGTCCTCTCTGATGGTCTCTCTGGTCCTCTCTGATGGTCCCTCTGGTCCCTCTGGTCCCTCTGGTCCTCTCTGATGGTCTCTCTGGTCCTCTCTGATGGTCTCTCTGGTCCTCTCTGATGGTCTCTCTGGTCCTCTCTGATGGTCTCTCTGGTCCTCTCTGATGGTCTCTCTGGTCCTCTCTGATGGTCCCTCTGGTCCCTCAGGGTACAGGACATGGCTGGTCTCTGCCCCTCTGGTCCATGGTGCGGTCAGTCCCTCTCTGGTCCATCATAGTGACTCAGATGTGTTCTAACTGGAGCTACTACACTCTGCTGACCTCCACCCCCATCTACATGGACCACGTGCTGCACTTTGACCTGCAGGCGGTGAGTTTAAAGCTGCTGTCCCTGACTTTATATATATACATATATATACATGTATGTGTGTGTGTGTGTGTATATATGTATATATGTGTATATATATATGTGTATATATATATGTGTATATATATGTATATATATGTATATATATATATATATACACACACACACACACATACATATATATATATATAAGTTATAGACGTTAACGGTGCGGTCCTCCAGAACGGGCTGCTGTCGGCGTTGCCGTATCTCGGGGGGTTTGTGGTGTCGTCTCTCGCCGGCGTCGCAGCAGATCTTCTCATCGAGAGGCGGGTCTTCAGTGTCACTGTCACACGCAAGCTCTTCACCGCAGTCGGTGAGTTTGACCAAACCAGACCTGTAACATCTGTGCTCAGAGTGTGTGGTAGATTAAAGCTGGGGAACGTAACTTTGTTCGTCACAGACGGTTGTAAAAGTGACTGGGAAACACTATCATTGATAAGAAAGTCCACCTCCAGGTCCCTCTGGAATTTGCATGTTCTCCCCGTGTCTGCTACTGTCCTCACATTGGCCCTCATGTATGAAACTTGCGTACGGCCAAATCAGGGAGTAAACATTTTACACTTTTGGGCATTTATCAATCTGGACGTGAGCGTACGCACAGAAAGTATAGGAGGTGTAAATGTGTACGCTCAGTTCACCCTTCGTCACGACACGCCAAAACATGCATGAAATTCAAGATTTGGACAACAATAAACTTATTCCCTCTGGCAACATTATAAGCTGCGTTTTCATGGAGCATCATGTTTCGCAAAAAACCATTATTATTATTAGAACCGGCAGGTGCGTACTCACACGTTCATAAATCCAATGTTGGATGTTGCGTAAATGGAATAAATATACACCCTTTTCTGCACAACTTTCATACACGAGGGCCACAGAGAGGGTTTCAGCCGTGACCGAGGAACTCAAAGGGGCGACAGTGGCTCAGTTGTAGAGCATTGGCCTTTGAGTCCGAAGGTTGTGGGTTCGAGTCCACTGCGAGACCTTCTCCACCGACTCCCACTGATGACTGCTGTCGTTGTGTCCTTGGCAAGACACTTAACCCCACTTTGCCTGAAGCCCCCACTGAAAGATCAATATCTGTCCTCAGGTCTGGTGCTGCCGTCTGTCTTCCTGGTCTGTGTGACCTACATTGGCTGCAGTCACGTTTACACCGTGGCGTTTCTCACGCTCAGCACGACCACGGGAGGCATCAGCGCCGCCGGTGTGTACATGAACCAGATGGACATCGCTCCCAGGTACGTGTGCTTCAAGGCAAGGCAAGTTTATTTGTATAGCACAACTCAAAGTGCTGAACAAGAAAGCATTAAAATCATAAATAATCACAGAACATTAAAAAGAAAGATAAAAATATAAAATCCCTCAGTTGTAGCACAGCTAAACAGAACTGTCTTTAACCTGGTTTTAAACATTGTCAGAGAGGAGGCCTGTCTCACATCTTCAGGAAGACTGTTCCAGATTTTAGCAGCATGAATCTGAAAAGCAGCCTCCCCATGTTTAGTTCTGACTCTGGGCACTAACAGGAGGCCAGTCCCTGTGCTCCTCAGAGTCCCAGCAGGAGTCCAGTCCCTGTGCTCCTCAGAGTCCCAGCAGGAGTCCAGTCCCTGTGCTCCTCAGAGTCCCAGCAGGAGTCCAGTCCCTGTGCTCCTCAGAGTCCCAGCAGGAGTCCAGTCCCTGTGCTCCTCAGAGTCCCAGCAGGAGGCCAGTCCCTGTGCTCCTCAGAGTCCCAGCAGGAGGCCAGTCCCTGTGCTCCTCAGAGTCCCAGCAGGAGTCCAGTCCCTGTGCTCCTCAGAGTCCCAGCAGGAGTCCAGTCCCTGTGCTCCTCAGAGTCCCAGCAGGAGTCCAGTCCCTGTGCTCCTCAGAGTCCCAGCAGGAGTCCAGTCCCTGTGCTCCTCAAAGTCCCAGCAGGAGTCCAGTCCCTGTGCTCCTCAGAGTCCCAGCAGGAGTCCAGTCCCTGTGCTCCTCAGAGTCCCAGCAGGAGTCCAGTCCCTGTGCTCCTCAGAGTCCCAGCAGGAGTCCAGTCCCTGTGCTCCTCAGAGTCCCAGCAGGAGTCCAGTCCCTGTGCTCCTCAGAGTCCCAGCAGGAGTCCAGTCCCTGTGCTCTTCAGAGTCCCAGCAGGAGTCCAGTCCCTGTGCTCCTCAGAGTCCCAGCAGGAGTCCAGTCCCTGTGCTCCTCAGAGTCCCAGCAGGAGTCCAGTCCCTGTGCTCCTCAGAGTCCCAGCAGGAGTCCAGTCCCTGTGCTCCTCAGAGTCCCAGCAGGAGTCCAGTCCCTGTGCTCCTCAAAGTCCCAGCAGGAGTCCAGTCCCTGTGCTCCTCAGAGTCCCAGCAGGAGTCCAGTCCCTGTGCTCCTCAGAGTCCCAGCAGGAGTCCAGTCCCTGTGCTCCTCAGAGTCCCAGCAGGAGTCCAGTCCCTGTGCTCCTCAGAGTCCCAGCAGGAGTCCAGTCCCTGTGCTCCTCAGAGTCCCAGCAGGAGTCCAGTCCCTGTGCTCCTCAGAGTCCCAGCAGGAGTCCAGTCCCTGTGCTCCTCATAGTCCCAGCAGGAGTCCAGTCCCTGTGCTCCTCAGAGTCCCAGCAGGAGTCCAGTCCCTGTGCTCCTCAGAGTCCCAGCAGGAGTCCAGTCCCTGTGCTCCTCAGAGTCCCAGCAGGAGTCCAGTCCCTGTGCTCCTCAGAGTCCCAGCAGGAGGCCAGTCCCTGTGCTCCTCAGAGTCCCAGCAGGAGTCCAGTCCCTGTGCTCCTCAGAGTCCCAGCAGGAGGCCAGTCCCTGTGCTCCTCAGAGTCCCAGCAGGAGTCCAGTCCCTGTGCTCCTCAGAGTCCCAGCAGGAGTCCAGTCCCTGTGCTCCTCAGAGTCCCAGCAGGAGTCCAGTCCCTGTGCTCCTCAGAGTCCCAGCAGGAGTCCAGTCCCTGTGCTCCTCAGAGTCCCCAGCAGGAGTCCAGTCCCTGTGCTCCTCATAGTCCCAGCAGGAGTCCAGTCCCTGTGCTCCTCAGAGTCCCAGCAGGAGTCCAGTCCCTGTGCTCCTCAGAGTCCCAGCAGGAGTCCAGTCCCTGTGCTCCTCAGAGTCCCAGCAGGAGGCCAGTCCCTGTGCTCCTCAGAGTCCCAGCAGGAGGCCAGTCCCTGTGCTCCTCAGAGTCCCAGCAGGAGTCCAGTCCCTGTGCTCCTCAGAGTCCCAGCAGGAGTCCAGTCCCTGTGCTCCTCAGAGTCCCAGCAGGAGTCCAGTCCCTGTGCTCCTCAGAGTCCCAGCAGGAGTCCAGTCCCTGTGCTCCTCAGAGTCCCAGCAGGAGTCCAGTCCCTGTGCTCCTCAGAGTCCCAGCAGGAGGCCAGTCCCTGTGCTCCTCAGAGTCCCAGCAGGAGTCCAGTCCCTGTGCTCCTCAGAGTCCCAGCAGGAGTCCAGTCCCTGTGCTCCTCAGAGTCCGGGCTGGTTCATATGGGACTAACATGTCACTAATATATTTTTATATGTAACAAGCAAAGCTGTTTTAAAGTCTATTCTCTGAGCCACAGGAAGCCAGTGCAGAGACCTGAGGACTGGACTAATGTGGTCGTACTTCCTGGTTCTAGTCAGGACTAATATGGTCGTACTTCCTGGTTCTAGTCTGGACTAATGTGGTCGTACTTCCTGGTTCTAGTCTGGACTAATGTGGTCGTACTTCCTGGTTCTAGTCTGGACTAATATGGTCGTACTTCCTGGTTCTAGTCAGGACTAATATGGTCGTACTTCCTGGTTCTAGTCAGGACTAATGTGGTCGTACTTCCTGGTTCTAGTCTGGACTAATGTGGTCGTACTTCCTGGTTCTAGTCAGGACTAATGTGGTCGTACTTCCTGGTTCTAGTCAGGACTAATATGGTCGTACTTCCTGGTTCTAGTCAGGACTAATGTGGTCGTACTTCCTGGTTCTAGTCAGGACTAATGTGGTCGTACTTCCTGGTTCTAGTCAGGACTAATGTGGTCGTACTTCCTGGTTCTTGTCAGGACTAATGTGGTCGTACTTCCTGGTTCTAGTCAGGACTAATGTGGTCGTACTTCCTGGTTCTTGTCAGGACTAATGTGGTCGTACTTCCTGGTTCTAGTCAGGACTAATATGGTCGTACTTCCTGGTTCTAGTCAGGACTAATGTGGTCGTACTTCCTGGTTCTAGTCAGGACTAATATGGTCGTACTTCCTGGTTCTAGTCAGGACTAATATGGTCGTACTTCCTGGTTCTTGTCAGGACTAATGTGGTCGTACTTCCTGGTTCTAGTCAGGACTAATGTGGTCGTACTTCCTGGTTCTAGTCAGGACTAATATGGTCGTACTTCCTGGTTCTAGTCAGGACTAATGTGGTCGTACTTCCTGGTTCTAGTCAGGACCAATATGGTCGTACTTCCTGGTTCTAGTCAGGACTAATGTGGTCGTACTTCCTGGTTCTAGTCAGGACTAATGTGGTCGTACTTCCTGGTTCTAGTCAGGACTAATGTGGTCGTACTTCCTGGTTCTAGTCAGGACTAATGTGGTCGTACTTCCTGGTTCTAGTCAGGACTAATATGGTCGTACTTCCTGGTTCTAGTCAGGACTAATGTGGTCGTACTTCCTGGTTCTAGTCAGGACTAATGTGGTCGTACTTCCTGGTTCTAGTCAGGACTAATGTGGTCGTACTTCCTGGTTCTAGTCAGGACTAATATGGTCGTACTTCCTGGTTCTAGTCAGGACTAATGTGGTCGTACTTCCTGGTTCTAGTCAGGACTAATGTGGTCGTACTTCCTGGTTCTAGTCAGGACTAATATGGTCGTACTTCCTGGTTCTAGTCAGGACTAATGTGGTCGTACTTCCTGGTTCTAGTCAGGACTAATGTGGTCGTACTTCCTGGTTCTAGTCAGGACTAATGTGGTCGTACTTCCGGTTCTAGTCAGGACTAATGTGGTCGTACTTCCTGGTTCTAGTCAGGACTAATGTGGTCGTACTTCCTGGTTCTAGTCAGGACTAATGTGGTCGTACTTCCTGGTTCTAGTCAGGACTAATATGGTCGTACTTCCTGGTTCTAGTCAGGACTAATATGGTCGTACTTCCTGGTTCTAGTCAGGACTAATGTGGTCGTACTTCCTGGTTCTAGTCAGGACTAATATGGTCGTACTTCCTGGTTCTAGTCAGGACTAATATGGTCGTACTTCCTGGTTCTAGTCAGGACTAATGTGGTCGTACTTCCTGGTTCTAGTCAGGACTAATGTGGTCGTACTTCCTGGTTCTAGTCAGGACTAATATGGTCGTACTTCCTGGTTCTTGTCAGGACTCGAGCTGCAGCATTTTGAATGTACTGCAGCTGTTTTACAGCCTGTTTGGACAGACCTGTGAGCAGGCCATTGCAGTAGTCTAACCTACTGGAGACAAATGCATGGATAAGACTCTCCAAGTCTGCTTTAGACACTATGTTTTTGATCCTGGCAATGTTTTTTAGATGGTAAAAAGCTGCTGATGTTACTGATTTGATGTGGCTATTAAAATTTAAGTCTGAGTCCAGTATTACCCCTAGATTTCTGACCTTGTTTGAAGGTTTTAGGGAGAGAGACTGTAGGTGACAGATGACGCTCTCTCTTTGTTTCTGGGGACCAAAGACAATCATTTCAGTTTTGTCTGCGTTTAGCTGAAGGAAGTTGTTTTGCATCCACTCACTGATCTGTTGGATACAGTGAAGGAGTGAGTCCACTGGTCCATGTTCTCCTGCAGTCAGTGAGACATAGATCTGAGTGTCGTCTGCATAGTTATGATAGGACACTTTGTTTCTGCGTATTAACTGACCTAACGGCAGCATGTAGAGATTGGGAGCCTTTCTGGCTCTACGTTTGGAAGTAAGCTCTAATGGCCTGACGAAGACCGCTGTTGGTCGAAACGCGTAGGCAGTCCAATTCATTAAAGGACTTTTAATTTTTTCACTAAAACAGAGTGCCTCAGACTACCTTTTTTCTCTTCTGACTTTCTACATGCTTAGATTGCCCCGTCTTCGAAGAGCACCTGTTTTTATTGCCTTCTAGTAACTAGTAACTTTTTAGTAACTTTTTATTTATATACCGCCTTTTCACTGCACATCAGAGTCTCAAAGCGGTTTACATTTGTTAATTTTTGGGCATTTGTCGCCAGAACTATTGTACATATTTTTAGTGGTAGGGGAAACTGGAGTACCCGGAGGAAACCTACGCAGACACGGGGAGAACATGCAAACTCCACTCAGAAAGGCCCTGGTCCGACCGGGATTCGAACCCAGGACCTTCTTGCTGAGAGGTGAGAGTGCTATCCACTCAGCCACCGTGCCGCAGGTACGGTGGCTTTACGGTGGCTCTACCACACGTACCCTCTGCAGCACTCACCTTTTTTACTTTTAACTAAGCTCTAATGGCATTTGAACAGGGGGGTTTGTTAATCTATTAACTGTTGAAAACAGAACACGCAGATTGTTGCTGCAGCCTTCAATCATTTCAGAAAAATACCTTTCTCTCGTACTACGTAGCACCCGGTTAAACTCGCACAACTTATCTTTGAAGATCTCGTAATCTACCTGGAGGTTGGACTTGCGCCACTTCCGCTCGGCCCTCCGGCACTTTCTCTTTTGTGCTCTGACCGAGTCGTGTGCTTCATGGTTCATACATGTCCTTTCGTTCAGGTTTTCAGCTTTAGACTGTTTCAGACTGAAAAGTGAAACCAGAGGAATCAGTCTCTCTCATATTCTTTTACAAACTACATGTATTATAGAGGATGAAATAAAGTTAGGTAGCTCAGCTTTAAATGTGTCTGTCCCTGAATGAAACTCTGATCTCTTCAGTTAGACTTTTTAACATGTTTTTGGTTCTTTCATGTTCTTCAAACAGACTTCACCATAACGTAATGTCTGGTTGTTCATCTCTCACATGTGTGAGATTCTTATAATCGTTATAATTATTTATGAACCTTCGTTTGTCTTACATCTAACCTTAACACGCAGTATATCGATCCAAGTTCATCTCACAGAGAGTTTATGTTTTTACAGATTCGCAGGATTTCTTTTGGGAATCACCAACACTTTTGGAACTATTCCCGGCGTGGTGGCGCCGATTGTGACCGGATACTTCACTGAGGATGTGAGTTCAAACTGATTCTAAGTCATTTTTCTGATGTTCACCGTGTCTCTCCTCGCAGCGCTCTCTGGACGGATGGAGGACGGTGTTCTGGCTCTCGGCGGCGATCCAAGTCGCCGGAGCCGCCATCTTCACCGTGTTCGGCAGCGGCAAACTTCAGGACTGGGCCATGACGGACGAAGACCGAGCAGCGAGGAAGAGAACCAGCTCCATCTTGTCCTGAAACCCACAGACCTTAGCTTTAAATGGACAGTTTTATCATAATTTATTTTTCATATCAAAGATTCAGTGTTTTGATATTTTACTTCAATGATCACTTTTACATCTGTTTTACCTTTTTACCTGTACTCTTCATTGTTCATGAAGTTTGGTGCAGATTTACACCAATATTTACAGAAATGACATTTGCACTTTTAAGAGATCGAAGCAGAACCTCACAGTGACTTCATCTGAACTGTTCCTCCTCCACAGACGCCTTTGCACAAGATTTAGACCAACTATGAAACAATAAGAGTTGTTAAAAGACAACAAAAGATGTATTTTCTTTCTTATACATGAGAGTGAGGGGGTGAAGAGGAGGAGGAGGAGGTGAAGAGGAGGAGGAGGAGGTGAAGAGGAGGAGGAGGAGGTGAAGAGGAGGAGGAGGAGGTGAAGAGGAGGAGGTGGTGAAGAGGAGGAGGAGGAGGTGAAGAGGAGGAGGAGGAGGTGAAGAGGAGGAGGAGGAGGTGAAGAGGAGGAGGAGGTGGTGAAGAGGAGGAGGAGGAGGTGAAGAGGAGGAGGAGGGAAGAGGAGGAGGAGGAGGTGAAGAGGAGGAGGTGGTGAAGAGGAGGAGGAGGAGGTGAAGAGGAGGAGGAGGAGGTGAAGAGGAGGAGGAGGAGGTGAAGAGGAGGAGGAGGGGGAGAGGAGGAGGAGGAGGTGAAGAGGAGGAGGAGGAGGTGAAGAGGAGGAGGTGGTGAAGAGGAGGAGGAGGAGGTGAAGAGGAGGAGGAGGTGAAGAGGAGGAGGGGGAGGTGAAGAGGAGGAGGTGGTGAAGAGGAGGAGGAGGAGGTGAAGAGGAGGGGTGAGGAGGAGGAGGAGGTGAAGAGGAGGAGGAGGAGGTGAAGAGGAGGAGGAGAAGAGGAGGAGGTGAAGAGGAGGAGGTGGTGAAGAGGAGGAGGAGGAGGTGAAGAGGAGGAGGAGGAGGTGAAGAGGAGGAGGAGGAGGTGAAGAGGAGGAGGAGGGGGAGAGGAGGAGGAGGGGGTGAATAGGAGGAGGAGGTGAAGAGGAGGAGGGGGTGAAGAGGAGGTGAAGAGGAGGAGGAGGAGGTGAAGAGGAGGTGAAGAGGAGGAGGAGGGGGTGAAGAGGAGGAGGAGGTGAAGAGGAGGAGGAGGTGGTGAAGAGGAGGAGGAGGAGGTGAAGAGGAGGAGGAGGAGGTGAAGAGGAGGAGGTGGTGAAGAGGAGGAGGAGGAGGTGAAGAGGAGGAGGAGGAGGTGAAGAGGAGGAGGAGGAGGTGAAGAGGAGGAGGAGGAGGTGAAGAGGAGGAGGAGGAGGTGAAGAGGAGGAGGAGGGGGAAGAGGAGGAGGAGGAGGTGAAGAGGAGGAGGAGGAGGTGAAGAGGAGGAGGAGGTGAAGAGGAGGAGGGGGTGAAGAGGAGGAGGAGGAGGTGAAGAGGAGGAGGAGGAGGTGAAGAGGAGGAGGGGGTGAAGAGGAGGAGGAGGAGGTGAAGAGGAGGAGGAGAGGGGGGTGAAGAGGAGGAGGAGGAGGTGAAGAGGAGGAGGAGGAGGTGAAGAGGAGGAGGAGGAGGTGAAGAGGAGGAGGAGGAGGTGAAGAGGAGGAGGAGGGAGGTGAAGAGGAGGGGGTGAAGAGGAGGAGGAGGAGGTGAAGAGGAGGAGGAGGAGGTGAAGAGGAGGAGGAGGTGAAGAGGAGGAGGAGGAGGTGAAGAGGAGGTGGAGGAGGTGAAGAGGAGGAGGAGGTGAAGAGGAGGAGGAGGAGGTGAAGAGGAGGGGGTGAAGAGGAGGAGGAGGAGGTGAAGAGGAGGAGGAGGAGGTGAGGAACAGACTCCAATGTTTTATTCAAAATAAACTAAAGTTTATTGCTGACTGTTTTTCTGTTGTTAAATGTTTTTTAAGGCTTTGTAAAATAAAATAATAACTTATATTGAGATGTTTTATCAGTGGAACATCAACATCAAACATCAACTTGTGCAAAATCTTTTGTATGGTTTTGATCAGAGACAATAATAGTTTATTATGATGAAAGTCTAAATCTTTTTGCTCTTTTAGAATGTACCTTTAAGGTTTTCGAAAACAAACCCATGTACAAAAGTGTTCAGTTATGCACAAGTCTTTCATGAACGCATCCCTTTGAACTCTTAATAACGACCTTTTTAACGCAAACAGCTTCATCTGAGTTTTAGAGGTAATCTTCACCAAAACACTTTTGTTCCTTTTCCTTTATGGTTTCGTTTGCCACCAGGTGGCATGACTACAGTGTATGATGCTGACGTAGTCATTCCTTGCGTCATATTTTAAATGACCCGGATGTTATTGTAACTGTGCAGCCTTTTCCCCAGTCCGGGCTCATCAGTGCGGAGAACTTATGTTTTGGAGAGGGTTAGAATATCTCTATTGTTGATAAGATATTATACGGAGTGTAGAAAAAGGCAACAGGTTAAAATGGCATTATGTAAATATTACTCTGATCCATCCTGACAGACATGCGTCAGGGCGGAAACTCCCCCACGGTGCATCCATCAAACCTGTCCGTCAGGGCGGAAACTCCCCCACGGTGCATCCATCAAACCTGTCCGCCGTCTATAAACTTCACACGTTACTGAAAACTTTCATTAAAAGTCAAAAATTGAGTCAAACTTGGAGAATAACATATTATTTATAATGCGCTTGGCCGAAAAAGAGACTGTCCGTTAAACTTCGTCGCTGTTTTGCTAGCATTAGCTGTTAGCATTGAAGCCCAAATGAATTCCATGACCATTATAACTTTAATCTCGTTAAGTTAATAAAGAACTCTTTTGTTAAAATACTGCCAGTGTGTATACTCGTGTTGTGTCCCTTCCCAGTAAATACCCTTGACTGATAGAAAGTGTTCCTCCCACATCTTACATCAATTATTGAATGTGACAAAGCAATGCTGGACACAGAGCTATAAATAGTGGTGACATCTCTTTCTTTAAAGAACGTTCTTGTCTTGTGACCATTTCTTATAACTACATATATCCTGAGCTGCTGTGTTTGTTTTGTTGGTTATCTTAATCCAAGAGTACACAGACAATTACAGCAGTTTATTACATGGTCATAAAGAGTTGCAGTTGCACTGAAGTATTAGGTCAAATCAGTTGTTGGTTTTCTTGGTCATTCACAGACATTAGAAGGAATTTTCAATGTACTTTTAAATGCATTCATTACATTTGTGGATGGGCATTGGGTCAACATGTGATGGTTATAACCCAGTCTAAAGTTATTACCTTCATATGATGTACATTCACTTCTACATTCATCCAGGTATTTTCAAAAGTCTTCATCCCCCTTGTCTGGACCTCAGACTGTGGGAGTCCTTTGTTTAGCCTGTTACATATTCCTGACAGTGGAGATGTGTGATTAACACAGTCAGGCAGCCATCAGATGCTTCACCTTTGTTATTAGCAAGTGTGAAGCTCAGGGAGACACAGTGCTGCAAATTAGGCTTATTTACATTCACTGTGGGTTCAAATCCAACCACAATCTATCACGGTAAGGCCTATTTAGTAGTAAGTAATCTTTGTTTATATACCGCCTTTTCACTGCACATCAGAGTCTCAAAGCGGTTTACAATTGTTATTTTTTGGGAGTGGGGCCAGTACAGGAGGCACATGCCAGACCTATTGTACATATTTTTAGTGGTAGGGGAAACCGGAGCACCCGGAGGAAACCTACGCAGACACGGGGAGAACATGCAAACTCCACTCAGAAAGGCCCTGGTCCGACCGGGATTCGAACCCAGGACCTTCTTGCTGAGAGGCGAGAGTGCTATCCACTCAGCCACCGTGCCGCCCCGTGCAGTAGAACAGAAAACATGGCCAGAAGTGATAATTATGATCCATGGAAAGCAAAAAGAATAAAGTGTAATCAACATGGTGTATAAAGTTTGCACATTTATTCCGTGGTTTATGTATAAACGTTGGTTAAATGAAACATGTCCACATTAGTACAAATATAAAGTTACTTTTGTTTTTCCATGTTTTCATGGTCTGTGTGGCTGATCTTTTGCAAAAAGTAACAGACTCATTCAAACTCAACTCATTCAGAAAAACATATTCTCAGAAAACCTCTTAGAACTGACGCAGACCAAACACACAGTAAGAGAAAATACTTTAGTCTCACTTATTCTCATGTCATCTTTCGCCCTGTTGCCATGGTTACTCCATGAGCCAGCAAAGAGTGACTCACGACGTCGACGTTTTGCCAGCGACTGATTCACACTTTCTCTCCTCGTCTTTCGTGGCTCAGACAGAAATATTCACAGCTGCTGCAGAAAGCTTTGTTAAGAAGGAAGAGGAAGCCACATCTCTGTCAGTCAGACCCAAGGCAGCTCTGGCTTTGGAAACGTTTGCCTCCATCACAAAGAAAACATTTATAGTTAAAAATGAAGATCTGCTTTAAAAGACAAGAGTAGAACCAAAATAGGGAACATTACATTATACAGTTATATATTTATGTTATTTCATTTTTAATTCCCACTTTTCTTTTCCCAACATTAGCTTCTTATGTGAGCTTTGTACTTTCAAACCTTCTGAACATTATTTTGATACAAACACAAAGAAAATATTGTGACACGTGTTCTTTACATCGATCTACAAGAACCTGCTCTGGGCTTCAACCCTTTCTATCTCAAAACCACAAATGTTTTAGAATTGATAAGAATATACAATGAAGCTTTATCTATTTATGTTAATAATAATAAGTTTATGTTAATAATAATAAGTTTATGTTAATAATAATAAGTTTATGTTAATAATAATAAGTTTATCTTAATAATAATAAGTTTATGTTAATAATAATAAGTTTATGTTAATAATAATAAGTTTATCTTAATAATAATAAGTTTATGTTAATAATAATAAGTTTATGTTAATAATAATAAGTTTATGTTAATAATAATAAGTTTATCTTAATAATAATAAGTTTATGTTAATAATAATAAGTTTATGTTAATAATAATAAGTTTATCTTAATAATAATAAGTTTATGTTAATAATAATAAGTTTATGTTAATAATAATAAGTTTATCTTAATAATAATAAGTTTATGTTAATAATAATAAGTTTATGTTAATAATAATAAGTTTATGTTAATAATAATAAGTTTATCTTAATAATAATAAGTTTATGTTAATAATAATAAGTTTATGTTAATAATAATAAGTTTATGTTAATAATAATAAGTTTATCTTAATAATAATAAGTTTATGTTAATAATAATAAGTTTATGTTAATAATAATAAGTTTATGTTAATAATAATAAGTTTATGTTAATAATTATCAGGTCAGTTTAATGTTAAACATGTTAAAAGTCCAGTTGTAACTTTAAACTACAGAAGGACATTTCCATTTCCTTGAGGTAAAAACGATTGATCCGAGACATATTCATTTCTTTTCCATTGCACATCCAGGTCCAACCCAAACTCATCCATGAAGAGCCTACAGCAGGTGTTCAGGTCCAATCCAAACTCACCCATGAAGAGCCTACAGCAGGTGTTCAGGTCCAATCCAAACTCACCCATGAAGAGCCTACAGCAGGTGTTCAGGTCCAATCCAAACTCACCCATGAAGAGCCTACAGCAGGTGTTCAGGTCCAACCCAAACTCATCCATGAAGAGCCT